TGTGCCTGGGAAAAAACAGTGGTGGTAGGAGCTGGCATTGTGGATAAAGCTGCTGCCTGCAGCGCTGGCATCCCATATGCCTGATGGTTCAAGTCCCAGCTGCTCCATTTCCGATCCAGCTCCCTGCTAATATGCCTGAGAAAGCACCAGAAGCTGCCCAAGTGCTTGGGCCCCTGCACCTACACGGGAGACCCGGAAGAAGCTCCTGGCTCCTGGCTTCAGGCTTCAGGCTTCAGCCTGGCCCAGCCATGGCCGTTTGGGGGAGTAAACAAGCAAAAAGAAGATTCTCTCTCTTTCTCTCCCTCTGCCCTTCTGATTTTCAAACAAGGAACCGTGGTTTTGTGGATGCACAAATAGTTGTTCAGACCCATCCTGGAGGGTGGGAAATGCCCACCTGCGTCGGGCTGGTTTGGTTGCTGTGCCCTGCCACCCCAGGGCTGGCATCACCTATGATTTTAACCCTGCTATCTTGGCCTTTGATCCCTAGTGAGGCTCTCTGGGGGTGTTTGAAGGGAGGGAGCCAGGGGAATGCATCTTGGATCCCAGGCCTGTCAGTGGCAGCTGCCCATCATCTGGGCGCAAGGAGCTTTATTTAATATCTCATGTAAGCATCGTCACAAGCCCACGAGGAGTGAGTGGTTTGTTCCAGTCACTGTTCCAGTACTAACTGCCCGAGCTGGGATTCGAACCCAGGTCTGTGTGAGTCTGCAGCTGGAGCTCCTTGCCTCCAGGGCACTCTGCCTTCTTCAGGGTCAAGGTCAAAGCAGAGATATGACCCCAGGTTGGTGGACACAGCTGGGTCCCTGACGGCAAGTGGAAGTCATGGCAAAGTGCACAGCGGTGCAGTCAGCTGCGGGTTGCACCCAGGGCTACTGATGAGGGCACCGTGGCCCTGCCCTTAACCTCTCAGTGACGGTGATGGGATAGTACCAGGGGAAATAATGATGGAAGCCATGAGGTGAGATGGCTCTGGGCTGGAGGGACAGCCGGGCAGGAACGAGGTCCCCCGGGTGGAAGAGCGAGTCCCAGAGGCGGATGGTTGCACCTTCCTGAGACAGCCGCTCCCTCGCCCCTAGATGGCGCTACAGAGTCGCTAAGGTTTCACACCCTTATGGATGGGGACCCCAAGACAGGGGACTGGTTCTACAGCCCCTCTGGTCAACAAATCCCGTCGCAAACCTGTGTTACTACGTGTCAGCCCAAAAGTAACGAGAGTCGGGAGAGATAAAGAGAGAGAGAGACAGAAAGAGCGAGAGCGAGAGCGAGAGCGAGAGCGCGCGCGCGAGAGAAATTCTCCAAATAGCGAAGAATAGCACATCCAAAGAGTCCGGGGAAGGCCTGCGCCGCGGCTCACTAGGCTAATCCTCCGCCTTGCGGCGCCGGCACACCCGGGACCGGTCGGGGCACGGATTCTGTCCCGGTTGCCCCTCTTCCAGACCAGCTCTCTGCTGTGACCCGGGGGGTTCAGTGGAGGATGGCCCAAGTCCTTGGGCCCTGCACCCCATGGGAGACAGGAGAAGCACCTGGCTCCTGCCATCGGATCAGGGCGGTGCGCCAGCCACAGCGCGCGGGCCGCGGTGGCCATTGGAGGGTGAACCAACGGCAAAGGAAGACCTTTTTCTCTGTCTCTCACTGTCCACTCTGCCTGTCAAAAAACAAACAAAGAGTCCAGGGAAGAGGAGTCGAAAATGAGAGGGATTCCTGAGATATTCGAAAACAATACTCGGGTCACAACGGTTACTAGCCGGGGTGACCTCAGTCTGAGGTTGGACACCGCTGGGCAGATGTCCCTGCGGAATCATTTTCTGTGTAAGGCTGTGGCGGCCTCTGTGGGGAGCTGTGGCCCTGCACTGCCCCCCTCGTGACCTAAGCTGCCTCCCTTCACTGCCACTCGCTTTTGGCCAGCGTCCACACAAGCAACTGGATTCGGATTCGGATTCGGACAATTCGCACAATCCGTTCTCATAGGCTGGAGGCTGGCTGCCGGGTCTGTACCCCCACCTCCTGCAGTGAAAGGACAATGAGCGTATGTCACTCAGGCCCGGGCTCAAGGGGTGAGTTGGGCTGGGGGTGTGAACAGCGCATGTGTGAGGCAAAGGCCCAGGAAGCATCCAAGTCCAGGGGCCCAGGGACACACGGCCTGAGAGCTTCCAGATGTCTCTGAGGTCGCTGCTGTGACCTCCTTGGCCACAATAGCCTGCTTAGATAAATATTTACCTACAAGCACGTACACAAATATATATATTTATGTAACCAGATATACATCACTGCATAAATATATATAAGAAATACAGACTTGGGGCTGGCGCTGTGGCGTAGCGGGTAAAGCTGCCGCCTGCAGTGCTGGCAGCCCATATGGACGTTGGTTCGAATCTCGACCGCTCCACTTCCGATCCAATTCTCTGCTATGGGCTGGGAAAGCAGTAGAAGATGCCCCAAGTGCTTGGGCCCCTGCACCCACGTGGGAGACCTGGAAGAAGCTCCTAGCTCCTGGCTTCGGATCATCTCAGCTCTGGCCGTTGCAGTCATTTAGGGGGGTGAACCAGCAGACAGAAGACCTCTCTCTCTCTGGCTCTCTGTAACTCTGCCTTTCAAATGAATAAATCTTTAAAAAATTGTGTCATATGGGGCAGGCATTGGAGGCGACGGTTGGGGGCTTTGCTTTCACCGTCAGGAGTGCCTCTCAGCCCTCGGCGGTGCCTGCCAGCAGCCAGGAGAACTTATATTCACCTTTCTCTCCAGTCTTCAGGAAAGTAGTTTGTCCTACACCTCATTTCTTCTTTTTAAAAACTTACTTATTTGAATGGCAGAGTGAGCAAGAGAGAGGGAGAAACAGGAGAGAGAGAGGGAGATCTCTTGCTTGTTCACTCCCTAAGTGGCTGCAACAGCTAGGAAAGTCAGGAGCTAGGAACTCCCTTGGGTGGCAGGGACCCAAGTATTTGGGCCATCACCTGCTGCCGTCCCAGGTGCATTAGCAGGGAGCTGGATGGGAAGTCAGGACTCGAACCCAGCACTCCCCTATGGGATAGAAAGAGTGGCTTAACCCACGGCACCACAGTCAGCGCACTGTACTCCCTTGTCCAGTGGACCTAAGGAGAGGCAGTGATTTTGAGCCTGTTTAGCATTTGTTGTGAACACTGGAGGAATGACCACCAAGCTGTCTGAGTGCCGCAGGCTGTGTTCTGTTGTAATGGAGAAGCTTAAAATCTCTAAGTACAGAAATCAGACGGTAAAACAAAAAAGGTAGGAAGGAAGGGAGGGAGGCAGGGCCCCCGGACCTGCACAGAACCGCCCTGGGGGGAAGGGGTGGGCAGCTGAGGAAGGCCCTGCCCCGTGTGTCGGTAGGTCTGGTCCATCTGTGCGTGTGCTGGCAAGGCGCCAGGCATCTGGAAGTTCAAGTTCTTTCTGTGCTGGGGCCGTGAAGCCGCCTCTTGGCCGAGGACACCGGAACCCTGGCCACTGGCCCCAAGGCAGCAAACCAGACTGGAGACCCCTGCCAGGTCCTTTGTTAGTGATCTCCAGAGGATGGGGCTTCACCCATGGGACCCAGCCCCCCCACCCCCTGCTGCCAGGCCTGCTCCTCTTCCTCCTTGTCCTCTCTCTCACCTCCCTTCCTCCCCCACCCTCCTCCCTCTTCTCCTTCCTCCTCTTCCTTCCTCTTCCCTCCCTCCTCCTCCCTCCCTTCTCTCCCCTTCCTGCTTTACTTCCTCCCCTCCTCCCTCCTTTCCCCTCCCCTTCCCTCCTACCCCTTCCCCTCTCCCCCTTCTCCTTCCTCCCTCTTCTCCCTCCTCTATTTCCTCTCCTTCCTCTCCCCTTCCTCCCCTCTCCCTCCCCAGCTTTCCTTCTTGATGGGGGCTTGGAGGGGTGGGCTGCCTTGTGTGGGAGGAGCTGGAGGGGCGCCTCCCCCCCCACACACACACAGCGGACTTCGACAGCACATTCTGATCAGACAGCATTATTTTTCAGTTTTATAATATTGTTCACATCTGTAGTGCACGTGGCACCCAACAGAGTCGTCATCAGTGAGCTACTGATGGACGGAACAGTAGCTAACCCTGTGATGAAAACTGTCACTTGGATCACTGCGCGACAGCACGCGCCCCTGAAGTCGCTGGGGCTCGGCTTCTCCACTTTCAAACGGGGGAAAACTACTTAGCTTCCAATGACAAATTGTTGTAATGCCTAAAAACAAAACCCACGTGGATATTTCCAAGCCACAGGTAGCAACCAAAGGCAAGGAGCAAGTTTTCCCAAGGGTAGAAGGAGAAAGGAGGAAAGCAAAAAACAAAACGAGAAAAAGGAAAAACGAACTCTTCGTTCCCATACCGGGAGTCGAACCCGGGCCGCCTGGGTGAAAACCAGGAATCCTAACCGCTAGACCATATGGGAACTGATGATGGGTGGTTCCTGTGTCTGCATACGGCTGTTACATCAGCGTGGCCGCGCGCACCTCCCCAACACGCCTGCGCACCACAGCGCGCGCCCCGCCCCGCCCGCCGGCAGCTGGTCCTCACTGCGGCTGCGCCAGCCCCGGCCCCATCCGCACTGTGACCCGAAGCCAAGACGGCGGGTGGAGCGCGCTTTGCCGGGAATCTGCTGTCCCCCTCCGCCCATTTGCGGAGCGTGCCCGCGAGGCCGTGACTGGTGTGCCCAGGCAGACTTTGTGGTCCCAACGTGGCCCGAGCTTGCGGCCGCGTCCGTACTCTGGCCTGTTTCCCTAGCTGGCCCAGCGTGGACTGCGGGATGCCGGCATGAGCCCCACGCTGCGGTGGGCCGTCCCGCCTGGAGGCTCCCACTCAGGCGCCGCGGGAAACCGACTCCCCCAGCCCACCTCCGAGTCCGGCCCCGGTCCGGGCTGCAGCCCCAGGTGGTCAGGAAGGCCGGCGTTGGAGGGGCGAGCGAGACGCAGCCCCACTCCCTGCCCCGGCCACGGGTTGTCGCTCAGCCCTGCTCAGCCGCGGCCCCGACCGCTGACACGCCCGACTTCCTAAGCCATTCCGTTGTTTTGTGCAATTTGATCGAGGTTTTATTTCATAATACAGAATTGTAAAGAGCAACCCCATAAGCCAAGTTAAAAGACACACTGGAAAGAAACATTTTACAGCTGGTATTATGAACAGAGGACGAATTCCCCCCAAACAGAAAGAGCTCCTAGAGATGGCCGAAAAGACCAACTCAGTGGAAAAAGGAATCGAGGGCAGAGTTCCCGCACAGGGAAACACAAATGGCCCCTCAACACGTGACCAGAGGCCTGGCCTCGCTCCGGGTAAGGTAAAGGCAGGTTTTGAAAAGCCCCGAGGGTCTCTCCTCACGGGACCCTTGACAACCGGGACCCTTGACAACCGAGGTCGGTGCAGCCACAGCCTGGAGCTCCCGCCCTCCACTCGGCCCCTTTGAGGAGCCAGTGTGCCGGAAGCACTACTTCTGGGTCTTCCCTGCCGTGGCAGCCACCTCCCCTCCCCCACAGTGGAGCCTCAGCTGACCCATCTAAATGACTGTTGCAGTGAGCAGCCTGTGTACCCGCCCCAGGCAACATGGGCCTGGAGGTGGTCTCAAAGCAGTGGTTTTCAACATTACTCCTCTTCAAACTTCACACCTAACCGAGTTTCAAACGTGGAAACCAGGGACATTGGAAGGAGGGGACATTAGCTGGGCTGCGGCCAGGGGCAGGGGCTCTTCATGAAGGAGGCAGACGGCAGGCGAGATAGCCACATCCCTGGACAGCTGTGCTCTGGGCCCTGGCCCCTGGGTTCGCAGGTCAGGCAGCCCCAGGTTCAAGCTGCCTGAGTTTCTCCTGGAGCTTCCGGAGCTGGCTCTGACCCCAGCTGATGCGGATCTGGAGGGTGGCAATGTCCCCAGCCAGCTGCAGGCCTGGAGAAGAAGCAGAGAGGGTCACTGTGGCCTCTGTCCTCCATACAGCTCATGACAAGCTCCAGGCAGGGGGCCTGCCCTGGCTGCTCTACAACCATGCTGAGCCCACACCCTCATCACCCTCACCTCCTTTAGGGGGATGCTACAATGGCACCTCCTCCTCAGGTTTCCCTGGCCCCCTGGACTCACTAGCAAGTCACAGATCCTAGCTCCTCCCTCCGCCGGTCACAGGCCCTCACTGCTCTCACCCACTCTCCCTCCACCAGAAGAGTCCACACCCCGGATCCGCTTTCTGCCCAGTGTCCACAGAAACAGCTGCTGTCCATGCTGCTCTGTTGGTGGCCCGCTTAGTAGCAGTGCTGACCACACATTCCATCGCTCCCACCAGAAAACGTTCTCCTCTGGGCTTCCAGCACCCCCGCTTTCTGGGTGCCGCTCCTCAGTCTCCTCTCTGCACCCCCAGGCCCGTGCTGATTTCAACCTGTGTCTGCTTTAACCCTGCATCTGTGTCAGCCACATGGTCATTCAGACACCGCACTATGGAGTGGGCTCCTGAATGTGTCTCCAGCACGGGCCTCTCCTAAGCTCCAGGCACGTGTGCCCACTTACCCACTCAGCTTCTCCCTGGGCATGGTGGACACCACACCTCACTCAGAACACACCTGCACCCACACCCTGCTGCCACCGATATCCATCTGGTAGAGACTGTGGACTCTCCTTGACTCCCCTTGACCCCCACATCCAATTGGTCAGCACATACCGGGGCTTCTACTCTCAAAACGCACGCAGGTCCCTCCAGGCACACGTGCCCCTCCACTGCCTCCACCTGCATCGCACACCTGGCTGCTCCTGGCACCAGCTCCCTCCCCCTGCTCTCCAGTCTGTCCCCAGCAAGTGCCGGACCCAAACAATGCCTGTTATTCTGGGAGTCTGACTGTGCCATCTCTTGCTCACAGCTACCCTCGGACTCCCAGGGTCCTCTTCTCTGGGGCCTGCATCACCTGGGCCCAGAGGCCTGGATCCCCTGCCCTCAGCTCCTGGCCTTGCCACTGTACCAACCGCCTCCATCCTTCCTGTAACATGAGATCCTCTCTACACCCCCCCACCCCCCACCCCGCAGTCTGTGTTTTTTTTTTTTTTTCCCCACAAGTTTTACATTAAGGGCCTACTTCTTTGCACCCTGTCTTTCTCCCCTCCACAAAACAGACGTCTAGGGAAGGGGTCTGTCCCTTTTACTCCTGATTGGGCTTCCAGAATGACGGCGACCACTCACCATCCCGGAAACTGGCTTGCGCCTGCCGCAGACTGTGAGGAACCAGGATTCCAAACCAGTTCAGGGGGTCCTGGGGCGCTGTGGTAGACTCAGGCTCCGGCGTCTTGGTGGGGCCCTTGCGCCGGCGCAGAGCTGGGGAAGGAGACGTTGGAGGAGGCTGGGGTTGGGAAACGGTGTTGAGCTTAATGGTGAGCTCGTGATTCTTGGAAAACACTGCTGGCTGGAAAACCCCGGCCTTTCGCGTTCCTGGAAACAGCCAGCCTGCCTCCCAGGGTTGGGATGACACTCTCTGAGCTCGCTCCCTCACAGGCCCCTGTTTGCCCGGGACGAGGCCACACAGCGACCTTACCCACCTGCCTGAACGTGCTGACGGGCCACGGACCCGCCAGCTGCCCATTCGGTCTCAGGGATGCTTAACTGGGAGCGGCAGGTGGTCGCTCGGACACAAGATGGGCACTTCCGGTTCCCTGGACAGCAAACCGCTTACAACACTTCTGTAACCCTCCGCTTACTTAGACACGATGATCTCCAGACCTGAACGGAACCGTCTCCTGGACTGCGTGTGCACTTTGCCCGTGACATCGGGACGGGGCCCCGACAAGAGGGGGAGGGGGCTCACCTGCCTCGCGGGGCCCCACCTCCTCCGGAATCTGGGCGCCGGCTCTCACCACTCGCAAGTTCTGGAGTCCGTCCGGGGCCTCGCTGGAGGACGAAAAGGGACAGTGTCGGCGGCCTGGCCCTGCACCCTGCCCACCCGCTCCGGAACCCAAGGCTCCTCACCTGGCGCACACGCACACCTGGGGCTCCATGCGGGAGGCGTACTGCAGGGGGCCTACCGACTTGACACCCATGGCGTAGCGCGCCTGGGCGAGCGACAGCCAGCCCTGTGGAGAAGCGAGAGCCTGGAGACTCGGTCTACCTCCGCGCGAGTGCCACCCCCTGCTCACCCCCGGCGCTCACCTCCTCCACACGGCCGTTCAGCGCCGCCCGTTTCGCCTCCAGCTCCTCCAAGTCCGCGAGCAGCTGCAGGATCAGCGAATCCAGTTCCGTCCGCACGTCCCGGGCCGCCATGGGGCCGCCACACTCGGTCTCGGGTCGGCTGAGGACCGGGTCTGGAGCCGCCTCCTTCAGGTCGCCCAATCAGCCAATCGGCATGCGGGACACGCCCCAAGGGGGCGTTCCCATCCAAAGGACCCGGACACGCCAACGGTATCTAGACTCTCATCGCATCACGCAGTTTAAGGGCAGGCTCCCGGCGGGAAGTATAGGAGCCGAGTTCCTCAATTAATGCCCCAAGTAGATCAACCAGCTGCACAGTCTACGAGGGCTAAATGTGGAGGAAGTGGCATTTTAAAAATCATCCTACCACTATAGCAATGGAAAAAGGCGAAGCCGTTTGGCAACCATTTTAAGGAAAGAGTGGCTTTAATTACAGAAGGCGCCTTCAGGTACCTTCCCAATTATTCTCTGTGTTACTGTTACAGCCGATAGGTTTTCTCGAGTCGTCAATCATGACTGCTGTAGCAGTTTATCGCCCGTGGGTAGCCGCTCCGGAAGCCCTCGGCGGCCGACGTATTTGTTAACGGCCCTCCCACGTCACGTGACAGCGTTCTGCCTCCAGCCTATTGGTTACTCCAGCGAGCACGCGCGCCGGACTGGCCAATCGCCTGGAGGCGCCCTTCTTCTGTTCGCCACCTTAACTTCGGGCGCTGTCAATAGTAGGCGATTGCTGCGAAGCCTCGGAGCGCCCTTCCTGAGTGAGGGCGGAAGTGAGGGCAGCACCGCTCAAGCGGTCTCCACATTCTCTCCTGCCTCGCACGTGGAAGGGGCACCCATCATGGTAGGAGTGAGGTTGGAGCTCTTCTTTTCGGGGGGCGGCGGTTCGTCGAGGGCTGGCGCTGGGGCTGCGGGCCTGGGGCGGGTGGTGACCGGAGTTGTTGTTCGATAGCTGCGCCGCGAGGCCCGCCTGCGCCGCGAGTACCTGTACCGCAAGGCCCGCGAGGAGGCGCAGCGGTCGGCCCAGGAGAGGAAGGACAAGGTCCGGCGCGCGCTCGAAGGTAGGGTGTGGGGTCGAGCGGGCGGGGTCGGCTCCCGGTGGGTCTACCCCTGCCCGTGCTGTGTCGCGTCGCGGAGCCGCCCTGTGCGCTGTAGCCTCCGCGTGGCTCGTCCCCAGCGTGGATGTTTTAGCGGAGTCTTGGAGGGCCTTTCCCCGCCGTGGTTTTTCTTCCTGCTGCTCTTGGCAGTGCAGGGGTCCAAGGACTTGGGCCATCTTCTATTGCTTTGCCGGGCCATAGCAGAGAGCTAGATTGGAAGAGGAGCATCCGGGTCTCGAACCGGCTTCCATATGGGATGCCGGCGATTCAGGCTGAGGCTTAACCTACTGTGCCACAACGCTGGCCCCAGTAATCTTTCATTGCCACTTGCAGCGTGGAGTCTGTGGCACACATGCCAGATTGGAAATGCCGGGTTTATCTCTGTTTTGTTGGTGCTTCTGCCAATGGAACTTTGTTTTCTGTATGGTAGTGCATTCCCCTAGTTCCTCGGAAGAACCTGCATTCACTCTGTGGTCCCCTGGTTTTAGGCCTGTGAAGTGTACACATGGTGTTACGTACTGGTGACACATCCCTCTACCTTTAAGAAGTGACAAGCGATCATTACACTGGGATTTGGGAATATTTTCCCTAACTTAGGAGTGTGACTTAAGAATAAACTGTTCTTTTCCTGTTGTTTGTTCTTACATCACACCCATTTTGTCTGGGGAGCAGTGGGGTTCCCAGGGTGTGCCCAGGTGGAGTTCTGGACCCCAGGGAGGGCACCCCCAGCATAGCACCTCAGCCCACCCAGCCGTGGTCCTGAGGAACCTCTGACCCAAAGCAGCTGAGGCCATGCACCTGCAGGCGTTCGGTGCATCTCGCTCAGTGCTCTCCTTGCTGAGGCCTTAAGAAATCCATATTTTTAAAAAAGTTGTGCTATCTGGCTTTATTTTTAAGATTTGCTTTTTATTTACTTGAAAGGCAGTTATAGAGATAGGAGGAGAGACAAAGAGAGAGATCTTCCATCTGCTGGTTCACTCCTCAAATGGCCACAATGGCTGGGGCTGGGCCAGGCCCAAGCCAAGAGCCTGGAGCTGCTTCTAGGTGTCCCACATGAGTTCAGGGGCTCAGACACTTGGGCTCTCTTCCTCTGCTTTCCCAGGAGCATTAGCCAGGAGCTGGACTGCAAGTGCAGCAGCCAGGACACGAACTGGCACCCATATGGGATGCTGGCGCTGCAGGTGGTAGCTTTACCTGCTGCACCAGAATGCTGACCCATCCATTTGGCTTTAAAAATAATGCATGTGCTTGCGGTAAGCTAGAAAGCCTTCAGTTCGTGAGCGCCAGGAAGCCCAGAAAGTGAAGTTTCAGGACCCAGCATTCCCAGGTTAACACGTCGCCAGAATGTGTTGCTTTGCCATCTTCCTCTCCTAGTCACCCTGCATCCCCTGTGCTCCAAAAGGAGCAGGGATCTTTCCGTCAGGTTCCGGGGGGCTGTGCGCTGGGATGTGGGTGGAAGCCGAGGGTCCGTGCTGTGTGTCGCTCAGCCCCTCTGTCTTTCCTCTGCAGAGAACCGCCTGATCCCCACCGAGCTCCGCCGGGAGGCGCTGGCCCTGCAGGGATCCCTGGAGTTTGATGATGCCGGCGGTGAAGGTGACTATGCCATGTGGCCCTCCCTGCCCCTGGGATCTGAGTCCTGTCCCCAGTACAGCACCGCTGGCCTCTCTGTCTGTGTCTTTCTTGGACACGCTGGGCTCTTCCTGGCTGAGGAAACAGGCACAGCAGTCACCCCCGGAACCGTCCCCCAGCGCCCCTGTGTCTGCATGGTGCTCCCGATTGCACACACGGTGGCACCCCCGCATACCCGCTGCTTCTTGTTGGTCATCTCTGCCCCTGGAGTGTCTGCCGGGGCTGGACAGTGTCCCCAGCACGTCGCTGGCAGTCTGACCTTTCATTCATTGTGTAATTCAACGGGGAGGAAAGGAATCTGAAACCTTACAGATACTTGGTGTAGACCTTAGCAGAGCTGGGATTTGCACTGACATGGCAGCCACAAGCGCCCACAGGAGACTTCCTTCGTCGACTGCGCGCTCACGCGTGTGTGTGTGTGTCCGTGTGTTCGTTCTCCGACAGAGCCGGCCGCCCCACGGTAGCCCTTCACCCCAGAGCAGCGTTGTATTCTTGTTCCTCATGCTCCTGACAGGTGTGACCAGCCACATGGATGATGAATATCGGTGGGCGGGGGTTGAGGACCCCAAAATCATGATCACCACCTCCCGGGACCCCAGTTCCCGCCTTAAGATGTTTGCGAAGGTACCGGTGGGCTGGGAGTGAGTGGGGTGGGGGGACGACACCCAGGACGCCCCCCCCCCCCCGCCGCCGTCCTGACCGAACGCTGTGGTCCCTGTGCAGGAGCTGAAGCTGGTGTTCCCGGGTGCGCAGCGCATGAACCGAGGCCGCCATGAGGTGGGGGCCCTGGTGCGAGCCTGCAAAGCCAATGGGGTCACTGACCTGCTGGTGGTCCACGAGCACCGAGGCACACCTGGTGAGGTTGAGGCCGGCGGGAGGGTGGGGTAGGGGAAGGGCAGGCTGGGGGTAGGCGGGGACTCTGACTGCCCGGCTGCCCCCTGCAGTGGGGCTCATTGTCAGCCACCTGCCCTTCGGCCCCACGGCCTACTTCACGCTCTGCAATGTGGTCATGCGGCACGACATCCCTGACCTGGGCACCATGTCGGAGGCCAAGCCCCACCTCATCACACACGGCTTCACCTCCCGCCTGGGCAAGCGCGTGAGTCTGGGGGCCCTCGGGATGCAGCTGGGGGCCGGGCCAGGCCAGGCCAGGCGTGGACACTCCCCTTCCCTGTGCCCCAGGTCTCCGACATACTGCGTTATCTATTCCCTGTGCCCAAAGACGACAGCCACCGGGTCATCACCTTTGCAAACCAGGACGACTACATCTCATTCCGGTAAGTCTGCAGGTTGGGCCTGACTGCCGTGTCCCTGCATGGCTGCGGTCGACCCACCCCCTACCCTGGCTCTGTCCCCGCAGGCACCATGTCTACAAGAAGACAGACCACCGCAACGTGGAGCTCACCGAGGTCGGGCCACGCTTTGAGCTGAAGCGTGAGTGTGGGGCTTTCTTCCGGATCCTGGAGAGGGGAGGAGGTTTGCTGTGCTGGTGGTGACGTCCCTGTCCCCCTTCCCCCAGTGTACATGATCCGCTTGGGCACGCTGGAGCAGGAGGCCACGGCCGATGTGGAGTGGCGCTGGCACCCCTACACCAACACCGCACGCAAGAGGGTCTTCCTGAGTGCCGAGTGAGCCGCCTGCAAGTCAGCACATGGGCGTGGAACCCGGGGAGCCCCGGAGCTCCAGTGTGGGACTGTGCGGGATGCAGGGATCCCCATAGAGACTCTCTGTCACGCAGCCTGCCAGCCTCTGAGTGGGGAGGTAGGGCCGGTCCGTTCACGGCAGTGTACTGGCTCCAGCCATCTCTGTGGAGGGCGGCAGCCTCAGGTTAGTGCTCTGTGGGACCCTCTACTCCCTGGGGACACTTGGAGGCTGGGATCTCCCCCAGGCCTCTCCACACTGCTCCCCTCTTTGCGCCCATGTTCCCGGTACGTACCCATGGGCCCAACATGCACAGTGCTCATACAGGTTTCAGAAACACTAGGAGGTGCCCGGTGGGAGAAGGGTCTTTGTTAGGGCCCTGCAGAGCGCCCACCCCCTGCCCCAGCCTTGCTGCCCCATGAGGCGTGTGTGTACTCCACTTCATGGGCATGATGGAAATTTGCTCTCCTGGACCTGCACGTCCCCGGCTCCCTCCCTGCAGCGCCTGCGGCCACCCTTCTGTTGTGCTTCTGCGAGTGACTGTTCAGATGGCTCAGCTCCGTGCCATCATGGAGTGGTCGTCCCTGTATCGCTGAGTTCTGTGTCCCCAGGCTCACTGGCGCTGTTACAAATGACAGGAAGAACGTGCGTACGCACCACGCTGCCTGTGCCCATTCACTGCCCGCGGACAATGGGGCTGTTCTGTATCCTGGCCATCCGCAGTCGTGCGGCGCTGAGCCTGGGATAACAGACACCTCCAGGAAATGCTGGCTTTCGTTTCCTCTGGGTGTGTGCCCGGAAGTAGGATCGCTGGATCACGTGGCCGTTATATTTTTAACCTTTTGAGGAACCCACGTATGTTTTCCATGAAGACTGTTCCCATTCCCATTGCTACCGAACCTGTGCCTGTTCCCTTTTCCCACCTCCCTGTCAATACTGACTGTTTTTAGAGTGAGTGTCCTAGCAGGTGTGAGATGATAGCTCCCTGTGGCTTTGATTTGCATTTCCACAATGACTAGTGATGATGAATACACCTTTTGGTCATTTATCTGTTGTCTTTGGAGAAGTGTCTAGTCAGATCCTCTGCCTATTTGTCTTTGAATAAATCTTTGCTTTATTGTTGTACTTTTTTTCTTTTTAAGATTTATCTATTTATTTGAAAGACAGTGTTAGAGAGGGAGAGACAAAGAGAAATATCTTCCATCTGCTGGTTCACTCCCTAGATAGCTGTCATGGCCAGGGCTGGGCTAAGCTGAAGCCAGGAGCCAGGAATTACATCTGAGCCTCCTGAGGGGGTGGCATTTAGGCCATCTTTTGCTGCCTTCCCAAGTATATTAGGAGGGAGCTGGGTCAAAAGTGGCACAGCCACGACTTGAACCTTTGTCCATATGGGATACTGGTGTTCCACCTGCTGCATCAATGCTGACCCTGTGCCCATTTCATTTTCCTTTTATAAAAGATTTATTTATTTATTTGAGAGGCAGAGGCAGAAAGAGAGGTCTTTCATCTGCCAGTTCACTCTTCAATTGGATGCAATGGCTAGAGCTGCACTGATGCAAAGCCAGAAGCTTGGAGCTTCTGGGTCTCCCATGCAGGTGCAGGGGCCCAAGGACGTGGGCCATCTTCCACTGCTTTCCCAGGCCACAGCAGAGAGCTGGATCGGAAGTGGAGCAGCTGGCACTTGAACTGGCGCCCATCCAGGATGCTGGCACTGCAGGCAGTGGCTTTACCTGCTATGCCACCATGCTGGCCCTGCCTTTTTTTTTTTTTTTTTTTTTTTTTACTTATTTGACAGGTAGAGTTACAGACAGTGAGAGACAGTGGCCACCTCCTCCTGGTCTTCCATGTGGGTGCAGGGCCCAAGCACTTGGGCCATCCTCCACTGCCCTCCCGGGCCACAGCAGAGAGCTGGACTGGAAGAGGAAGAAGAACTGGTGCCCATATAGGATGCCAATGCCACAGGCAGAGGATTAACCAAGTGAGCCATGGTGCTGGCCCCCTGCCCATTTCTTAAAAATCAGTTTATTTGGGGTTTTCTGCAGTTGAGTTGTTCGAATTCCTCATGTATTTTCAGTAGTGCTATGATATATGTGTCCCCCCAAGATTTATACACAGAACCCTAACCCCAAAGGTCATTAACCCCCAGTGGGATTGGGAGGCAGGGCCTTGGGGAGGTCACCAATGCTGTGCCCTGTACCCGAGGGAGCGTGTTTGCCCTCCACCGTGGAGGGCCACTGCAGCTGCGACCTGCGACCTGGGACCTGACTCTGCTGGTGCCTTGATCTTGGGCTTCCTAGCTACCAGACTGTGAGCAGTAAATGTCTGTTGACAAATTCTCTAGTCTGTGGTCTTGTTACAGCTGCCCGAAGGGACTGAGACGGAGGGGAACCCTTTATCAGATAACATGGTTTAAAAATATTTTCTCCCACTCTGTAGAGGCAGCCTCTGGGAAAATCCTCCAGTTAGGTGGTAAAAAGCGACACACGTGTGATACATTCCCAATGCGCAGACCATGTGAGAAGGCCCTGTGCCTGTGTCTGAACCAGGAGGAGAGGACAGCTGGCCAGGAAATCGGGGAGGAGGGAGACAGAGGGGGATTACTGGGACGCTGCTGTGGTAAACATTTTCTGGGCGTACTGACCACAGGAAGCGTGCCTGTGGAGGTCTCTGCCTGCTTTTGTCCAATAGTGTGAAAGTAATGCTGTGAAAAACATACGGAGGTGTGGGTGGTAAGACAAAAAAAAGGCTGGCGCCACGGCTCAATAGGCTAGTCCTCTGCCTTGCAGTGCCGGCACACCAGGTTCTAGTCCTGGTTGGGGCGCCAGATTCTGTCCCGGTTGCCCCTCTTCCAGTCCAGCTCTCTGCTGTGGCCCCGGAGTGCAGTGGAGGATGGCCCAAGTACTTGGGCCCTGCACCCGCATGGGAGACCTGGAGAAGCACCTGGCTCCTGGCTTCGGATCAGCGCAGTGCGCCGGCTGCAGCGGCCATTGGAGGGTGAATGAACGGTAAAGGAAGACCTTTATCTCTGTCTCTCTCTCACTGCCCACTCTGCCTGTCAAACAAACAAACCACCTGTCTTCCTCGGCTACAGCAGTTGAGCCTCACTCTCCAGAGGTCGGAACTATCAACATTTTTTTTCTTATAGTTTTATTTATTTGAGAGGCAGAGAATGAGAGCGAAAGAGCTCTCCCACCTGCTGGTTTATTCCTCAAATGTCCATGATGGCTGGGGCTGGGCTAGGCCAGCACAATCTGGAACTTACACACGGCTGACAGGAACTTAGTTACTTGTACCTTGACTGCTGCCCGCCAGGGTCTACACTGGGAGGAAGCTGGAATTGAAGGTAGGTACTTTGATGTGATATGCAGGTATCGTAACTGCTGGTCTCAACTGCTCCCCACTGTCAACTCTGAAACTGGCTAGTTATCTCCTCACACTATACAGGGGTCCCTGTTCAAGACTTCTGGTGGATGCCTTGGGACCATGGATAGTACAGAGTCCCATATATGCTGTTTATTTCCTATACATACCTAACTGTGATGAAATTGAGTTTATACATGTTGAAGTGAAATGGGCACATGAGAAATGGTGACTTGATCAGCCCTTGCCCAGACTGTTGATAAACAACTTAATACTTTATTCCTTTTAGTATTATTTTTGTTCTACTTAATACTATTGGTTGAACTCTGTAATTAATACACAATTATTCTTAAGTGTTGAAACTTAACTGAAAAGTGATCCCTGTTAAATATAAGAGTGGGAATAAGAAAGGGAAGAGATGTACAATTTGGGACATGCTCAGTCGGACTTGCCCCAAATGGCAGAGTTAGAAATGTGCCAGGGGATTCGAATTCAATCCCATCAAGGTGGCATGTACCAATGCCATCTCACTAGTCCAAGTGATCAATTTCTGTTCACAATTGATCATAATGAAAGGACTGAGTCAAAGGGATCACATAAATAAAACTAGTGTCTGCAAATACTAACTGATAGAATAAAAAAGGGAGAGAATGATTCAACATGGGAAGCGGGATACACAGCAGACTCATAGAATGGCAGATGTCCTAAACAGCACTCTGGCCTCAGAATCAGCCCTTAAGGATTCAGATCTGGCTGAAAAGCCCGTGAGAGTATTTCAGGCATGGAAAGCCAAGACACTGTGGCAAAACAAAACAAAACAAAACAAAACCTAAATGAAAGATCTCTGTGAGTGAGATCCCAGTGAAAAGAACAGGTCATCAAAGAAGGAGGCACCTTTCTCTGAAGAGAGGAGAGAACTTCCACTTTGATTATGACCTTGTCTAAATATGATCAGAGTCAGCGAACTCAAAAGGCCTCCATAGCCTTTGCAACTCATAATAAGAGCCTAGGGTGATTACTGACGCCATAAACAAGAGTGTCAATTTGTTAACAACAGAAGTCACTGCACTTACTCCTCATGTAGGATCTCTGTCCCTAATGTGCTGTACATCATGATTTAATGCTATAACTAGTACTCAAACAATATTTTTCACTTTGTGTTTCTGTGTGGGTGCAAACTGTTGAAAGCTTTACTTAATATATGCTAAATTGATCTTCTGTATATAAAGATAATTGAAAATGAAAAAAAAATTGAGTTTATAAATTAGGCACAGTAAGAGATGAGTGGAGGCTAGTATTGTGGCATAGTGGGTAAAGCCACTGCCTGCAACACTGACATCCCATATGGGCACTGGTTCAAGTCCCTGATACTGCACTTTGGATTCAGCTCCCTGCTAATGCTTGGGCCCCTGCCACCCATGTGGGGAAAGCCAGATGAAGCTCTTGGCTCCTGGCTTTGGCCTGGATAAGTCCTGGCAGTTGCAGCCATTATGGGAATGAACCAGCAGATGGAAGACTTCTCTTTTGCTGTGTCTCCCTCTCCAACTCTTTCGATAAATAAATAAATTTTTTTAAAAAGATTTTATTTGTTTACTTGAAAGAATTACAGAGAGGCAAAGGCAGAGAAGAAAGGTCTTCATCCGCTGGTTCACTCCCCAGATGGCTGCAACTGCCAGAGTTGTGCTGATCAGAAGCCAGGAGCTTCTGCCAGGTCTCCCACTCAGGTGCAGGGGCCCAAAGACTTGGGCCATCTTCCACTGCTTTCCCAGGCCACAGCAGAGAGCTGGATCGGAAGTGGAGCAGCCAGGACTCGAACTGGTGCTCATATAGGATGCCAGCACTGCAGGTGGTGGTTTTACCCACCATGCCACAGCTCCGGCCCCGAGTGTATTTCTTTAATGATGGTGCAGGCCATGCATTTTTGCAAGTACTTAGTGGCCATTTGTGTGTATGCTTTCTGCGACCATCTGCTCGCTTCTGTAGAAACGATCATTGCCTCTGTACCGACGGAAGGTTTTACATGGTTTTTAGCTGTGGAAAATTTCAGACTTAACGAAGCCAAGAGGACGGTCCAGGGAGTCCAGGAGCTGGTCTCAGCGTTGGCCAGCCTTGCTTCCTTGCCCAGTCCTGCCCACTTCCTATATCCGCTTCATCAATTTTTATTTTGAAGGCAATCCCATACAGCATGTCATTTCAAGCATAAGTATTTCCTGAGGGAGATAAACATTTATCTGTAAGAGATAAGGACTCAAAACAGGCCTACCATTATCACACTTCAAGTTAGCAAGTCTTTCCTTTACATCATCACATATCTAGTCCTTGATTACAGCTTGTTTGAATGAGGATCCAAATTAGTTCCAGTCGTTGCCACTGGTTGGCAAGTCAGTCTCTCTCTCTCTCTCTCTCTCTCTCTCTCTCTCTCTTTTGTTAAGATTTATTTGTTTATTTATTTGAAAGTCAGAGTTACAGAGAGAGAGGAGAGGCAGAGAAAGAGAGAAGGAGGTCTTCGGTCCCATGGTTCACTCCCCAGATGGCCACAACGGCCAGAGCTGAGCTGATTCAAAGCCAGGAGCCAGGAGCTTCTTCTGGGTCTCCCATGTGGGTGCAGGGGCCCAAGGACTTGGGCCATCTTCTACTGCTTTGCCAGGCCATAGCAGAGAGCTGGATTGGAAGAGGAGCAGCCAGGACTAGAACCTGCACCCATATGGGATGCCGGTGCTTCAGGCCAGGGCGTTAACCCACTGTACCACAGCCTCAACCCCCCC